CCCTGGGGAAAACTGGCAGGACGTTGGTAACTACCGACCTTCAGCGGAAGTGCCGCTTCTGTCCCACGACGTGCCCGACGACAAGGTCGCATGGACGTGCCCAGTGTGCGACATCCGCCAGCCTTTCTCGAAAAACACAATTACGTACAAGAAGATCCGGCGGGAGCACCGGCTGAAGGAGCACCCCGAGTACGACGACCAACGATGGCGGTGCCTAGTGCTAAGGGCTACTCTGCTGAAGAAGTCGCCCGACGGCATGCTGGATACCCGAGGTCGGCGGGACAAGAGAGCCAAAAGCCAAGTAGTCCTGCCTCCACTGCCTGTCCACCAGGTCCGGCCTCGAGCAGAGCGGCTGCGCCGTAAGCGGGAGGCACGGGAGAGGAAGAAAGCAACAGGGCGCTGCTGAGGCGGAGCCAACCGCCACGACGACCAATCCCACGTCCGTCCTCCCTCCCCCTCCCCCTCCTCCCTCCTTTCCCCTTTCTGCGGGATGTACCACGCCAGCCGGACTACAGAGGGCAGGCGCGACCAATACGCCAATAAAGATGGGAACTATCAGTATCGCATCTTGGGCACAGCATGGCAAGGACCTTCTGGCTACCGCCGAGGAGCTGGAGCTGGAGTTGCTGGTACTGCAGGAGCATGGGTGCCGGCACGCAGACATACCCAGGGCAGGCAAGCTCGCCGCTGACCACGGGTACGTATGGACGAGTGGAACCTCTTGTGGCGACCATGTGGTGGGTACCGGGAGGAGTGGTAGAACACGGGACGAATGTGGTGGCCTCAGTGTGCTGACGACGGGCCGTGTCCGGGTCACCCGGATCGCGTCTGAGCGCCGGACGGGCATTGGGGGGGCTGTCGCTGGGGGTGAGGGTGCCGTCTTTCACCTCCACACAGCTCACCTTGCAGCACTGCTGGCTGTGGTACACTTGCGGGCGGCCGACGACGACGACGCACGGAATGGTATGCTACAGTGGGTGGCAGAACAGCACGCTACGTTAGGAGGGGGGATCCCATTGCTGATCGCAGGCGATTACAACACTACGCCGGAAGATCCCATCATTACCGAGACTGCACGGTTACTGGGGCTCCGGGTCCAGAGCCCAGGAGAGTCCACGAGGTGGGAATCGAGCTGGGAGATCGACTTTTTCATGGTCACGAAAACTATGACAACAACCAGGGCTGTGGCGAATACGCAAACACTATCTGACCATAAGTTGGTGACAGTGGATGTGCAGTTCGACGCACCACAACCTACTGCTGGATGCTCGTGGCGGCGTGCGGCACGGTACGGTACGCTGAAGACGAGTCAAGACGCAGCACGAGCGGACGCACAAGGCACCGCAAACACGACCACGACGCAAAACACGAGCAGACCAACAACTCAGCACGACCCACAACAACATCCAACACGCGATCATGGCGCAGATGCAGCACCACGCAGCACGCCCACGACGCAGCACGAGCAGACCCACAACGCAGCACCACCGACCCATGGGGACATCGTGGAGGGCCTGGTTGCCCAGTGGAGGGCATTGCCAGCTTACGACATCCATGACGGCACCGTGGACGAGTGGTGGACGGACTGGAGTGCACGAGCAGAGGCAGTACTACAATCCCAACCCGCGGTGATCCTGACCAAGGGCGCTGTCCCTAAATCTGACTTCTCGTTTGCCCACTGGGAGCGACGGGAGAAAGGCGACGACGTGTGGACCCGGCATACGCGACAACTGCGGCAACTCATCCAACGGCTCCGGTCCCCGCCGGCACGGCGAGGGCGGAAAGCAGCCGGGAAGATAGCACAGTGGGAACGGCAAAATCGGAAGTTGTGGCAACAGAATATGGGCGGCGCCAAGCCGGACGACGACCAAGAGGCCATCGAACAAACTACCAAAGCGCTCGGCAAGGCCATCCAAGGGTGCAAGAATGAACGTGTCAAATGCTGGCGGAAGAGGCTCCAGGCAGATGGTCTTGGAAAAACCACAGCAGTTTGGATCCGGAACGCAGTGAGCACCTACCACAACGTAGCGGTGCAGGACGACACCAAGAGCGACCATGACAGCGGGAACTTGCAACTACACGACGACTCCACGCCCACCAACTACTTTTCACAAGACGCGGTGGAAAAATACGGGACCACTACGAGCAGCACTTCACGGAATGCGGCCGTGGCAACGATGTGGACGGGTATTTCTACCACTACGACGACTACATTGAGGAGGCACGCCAAGATGTTCAACGAGCACAGGAGCAACACGACCATAGAGCACGACACGCCATGGCAGCCCTTGGCTGCTGGGACCACTGGGCGCCACCGGCGGCAGCACAATTCCGCCACATGTTACACGGAGGCACAGCAGCAGGGCCAGACCAATGGGCGCCCTCGGAGCTCATGCTCCTCCCGGAGGAGGCACTGGACGAGCTGGTTGACCTTTGCACATACTCTGAGTGCCACGGATGGCCGTCGCAACTCCTGCAGTGGCGGCAGGTCCACCTACCAAAAGACCCAGACACAGCACTCCCGAGCCTGACCCGACTACGCCCTATCGCAATCGCGAGCGCCGTGGTCCGCGCCTGGCACAGATGGAGGGCAGACCAACTAGCCACCTACCTCAGCCCAGCTTTCCTGCCCACGCAGGGGGGCGGTCTCAAAGGGCGGACCCTCGAATCCCTCATCGAGCCATGCCTCTCGCTCATTGAGGAGACAATCGCGGCGAACAGGTACGACGACGAGGACGGCTCGCTGACCGAGGAGGAGCAGCGGCTGGTTCGGGAACGACAAACGGAGCTGCACGTCAAGTCGTGGGATTATGCCTCCGCGTTCGACAGGGCTTTCCCCCGGGTCGTCTGCGAGGTTTGGTCGCGACTCGGAGTACCGTCCAGAATCACCAACAGTATCGAAGCGATCTGGACAAGGCAAGAGAGGTGGGTTGAGGTCGGCCCGCTCTTAACACCACGGACAATTCTGGTTGAAGACAGTCTGCCACAAGGGGACCCAGCAACCATGCTCGGGATGGCCACCCTGCTCATGGGGCCACTACGACGGCAAGCTGCTCTGCACCCACGAGCAACCTTTTGCACCTTCGCGGACGACCGCACGGCGGCCACGACAGAGGCAGAATAACTACGGAGCATCGAGGAGGAGTGGGAGCTGCTGGAGTCGGTCACCGCGCTGCGCACCAACGACAGCAAGACGCAGTCCTTCACGATACTACCGCACCAGTGCGACAATTACCACCTGCAGAGCAAGAAAATGAAATGCCTCGGAATCGACTTCACGATGCAACGCACGACGCTCACGGCCAGAGAGTTAGGCAAGCTTGAAGAGGCAGTTGCCCGCATGAAACGGATTGCGTGCCTGCCCCTGAGCATGCGGCTGCGCACGACCGCTGTGAGCACCATCGCGCTGCCGGTGTCGAGCTGGGCACTAGTGGTGACGCCACCGACAAAAGGAGCTATTCAGGACCATCTACGACAAGCACGAAAGGCTGTGACCCTGCGGAAATGGCCCCGGGCAGATCCCGAACTACTTCGTCTGGTAGTAATGGGGCATAGCACCGACCTACGGTACCACCTGTGCCGGCGATCGCTACAACTTCTGAGCAGCAGACTACGACGACAGGGGCCTGGAGCACTTGCGCTTTGGGACAAGATCACGATCAAGACCGACACACGGGGGCCACTCCACGCCTACCGAGCACACTTGGCATCGCTTGGAGCACAGCGCAGCGACGACGGCTTCTGGAGAGGCCCGGCGGGAGAACTCCGACTTACCGACAGAACAGACCGACAGCTCCACGAACTACGACTCATACTCCGATCCCACGAATGGGCAATCCTACAGGGCCGGAACCGGCGGGAGAGCCCCATGGCGGCCGGAGTGCCCTTCCCAGCTGCTGCCGTGCGCGCGGCACAGGAAGCACGGAAAGCTAACCCAATCCTCGCCTCACACATCGCCGCCGTCCTCTGCGGCTGCGTGGTGTCGGACGCCCTGCTGCAGTCCAACCAAGGCGAGGAGGTCTCGACCGCCTGCGACCACTGTGGTGAGCAGCGCGTCCCGACGCTCGACCACATGTACTGGGTGTGCACAGCCAACGCCGACTTCCGGCAAGGTATCGCCGTACCAACGGCTGACCTCACCCGCCGGCTGGGCTGGCCGACAGAGGACCTCACCAAGAGGACCACGACTACTTGGACGAAAATGGTGTTGGCTATGGCAAGCATGAGGCAGCGTGCGCTGAACCACCGACACAAGAAACCACAGGCGCCCACTTCCTCCGACAATAAGTTATAACCGTATTCAATGGTTATTATCTGGATCGCATGTGTCAACACTTGGATTATGTTGTACTTCAGTTCTTCTTTGGGCTGGTGTCTTCTATTCTCCAGGTACACAGTCTACATATATGTGGGATTACATTACATATTTACGTAATTGCATGTGTTGCGTACCATAATTGGGGACCGCCACACAACGGTCGCCGCAGCTCTGCGAGCTGCGTGGTGTTCTCATACGCCTACGGATTGGGGACACGGATTGGTTCTTCCCCCTGCCTGCTTCAAGAAAACCCTCCCCCCTCCCTCCACCCCCTTGGTCGCGCCGCCAAGTATAAGCTCTCTGGCTGGCGTTTTCTGGTCATATCGCTCTGGACACGATATACTACAAAACTGTATATTAAGTGGTGGGGTCGGACGTGCGTTCCCAACGGAGGCACATATTACTACCATGCCCTTCTTCGTCTTATCTCACACTCTGTCTCAGTCTCTCCCTCTCCCCTCCCTCTCTCTCCCTCTCCCTCTCCCTCTCTCGCCCTCTCCCTCTCTCCCTCGCTCTCGCTCTCCCTCCCTTTTCTCCCCCCTCCCTCTGTGTCTCTGTCTATCTCTCCCTGTTCCTGTTCCTGTCCCTGTCTCTGTCTCTGTCTCTCCCTTCCTCCAACCTTCGCACGGGACAGGGCGGAGCGCCTGCTCCCCTCGCTGCCGGTGCGTGCCCGCAGCCGCAGGACGGCGATGAGGAGGACGGCAAAGACGAAGCGCTCTGCCTCGTGACTCCCGACGGCAGGCTCGACTTTGGCGGGTTCCGCTTCCCCCGCTTCGCAGGGCGGGGTGGCGGGGAGGCGGGAAGGCGGCGGGGGGGGGTTGGCAGGGAGGGGAAGAAAGGGGGGCATTTTGTGGGGTGCTGAGCTACAGACTGCAGTGAGGGGCAGGGGTGGGAAGACACGTGAAGGCAGAAGAAGGTAGCCCAGAAGGTGCGTTCCCCCCTCATGCGTCATCTTGTCTCCGTACCCTGCCATTGCGCATTTTTCAATTCGCTGAGTCGGGTATCGGAACATACCCCGACGCTTGGCTGTCGCTGATTGCACGCGGCGACACGGGGCAACATGGTACCAGGCAGCGCGCAGGGAAGTCGGGCTACGTTAGGTGGCGAGACGATGCGCATAATCCAACAAGAGCGTGCAATGAACAAGCATGAGGGGACATGATGAAGGCCGCGGAAGAGGAGGACGAGGAGGAGGAGGAGGATGAGGATGCTGAGAACGAAGAGGATCGCCTCCAGCCAGGGCAACCTTTCAAACCCGACATGGTTCGGTTTTCATGGATGCTCTCAGAGTGGTGTTGAAGGAATTGGGAAGAATATGATGATGATGATGATGATGATGATGATGATGATGATGATGATGATGATGATGATGATGATGATGATGATGATGATTATGATGGCGACGATGATGCGGATGATGACGACGACGACAACGATGATGATGATGATGATGATGATGATGATGATGATGATGATGATGTTGATGCTGCTGCTGCTGCTGCTGCTGATGCTGATGATGATGATGATGATGATGATGATGATGATGATGATGATGATGATTATGATGGCGACGATGATGCGGATGATGACGACGACGACAACGATGATGATGATGATGATGATGATGATGATGATGATGATGATGATGTTGATGCTGCTGCTGCTGCTGCTGCTGCTGCTGCTGATGATGATGATGATGATGATGATGATGATGCTGATGCAACTACTGATAATCCGTAAGGGCTTCGCTCCATGCCGCCGGCCCCCTGTCTCGGATAATAGGAGATGCAAAAGCAAAATCATGAGGTCTGGGCGCCGCCGTGAAGCATTGTCGGGACCTGTTTGTTTTTCGACCCTGACCCTACGGATCTGCATGAGGGGTGCCGCCGAATTTCAGAAATGTTGCAAATCCCAGCTTCTTTTGGACCCTGACCCTACGGATCTGCGTGAGGGGTGCCGCCGAATGTCAGAAATGTGGCAAATGCATTGTGTTTTTGGACCCTGACCCCGCCGATCTGCGTGAGGGGTGTCGCCGAATTTCAGAAATGCAGCAAATCCCCTGTGTTTTTGGACCCTGACCCCGCCGACCTGCGTGACGGGTGCCGCCGAATTTCAGAAATGTGGTAAATCCTATGTGTTTTTGCACCCTGACCCCGCCGATCTGCGTGAAGGGTGCTACCGAATTTTAGAAATGTGGCGAATCCCATATGTTTTTGCACCCTGGCCCCGCCGATCTGCGTGAGGGGTGCCACCGAATTTTAGAAATGTGGCGAATCCCATGTGTTTTTGCAGCCTGGCCCCGCCGATCTGCGTGAGGGGTGCCACCGAATGTTAGAAATATGGTAAATCCCTGATGTTTTTGGACCCTGACCCGGCCGATCTGCTTGAGTGGTGCCACCGAAGGTCAGAAATGGCAAATCCATTGTGTTTTTGGACCCTGACCCCGCCGATCTGCGTGAGGGGTGCCACCGAATTTCAGAAATGTGGTAAATCCTTTGTGTTTTTGGACCCTGACCCTGCCGATCTGCATGAGGGGTGCTGCCGAATGTGAGAAATGTGGCAAATCTCTTGTGTTTTTGGACCCTGACGCCGCCGATCTGCGTGAGGGGTGTAAATTATCACCCACCCCAGCAATTCAGAGCACACGCTCAGGGCGTGGTAGAAATGTCCGTTTTGGGCCTCCCCCCCTCGCGCGGTCCATCAACAAGGAACAGTAAGCAGCAAGAAGCAGAACTGTAACAGTGGAAACTGGAAGCTGCAAAGAAGCAGAACTGTAACAGTGGAAACTGGAAGCTGCAACTGGTACTGCGAAGCTTCGGCCTACAGCTTGGTGGCCCCACAAGGGGGCCGGCGGATTATGATAACGACGACGATGGCGGTGGCGTTGGCGGCGGCGATGATGATGGGGATGATGAAGATGCTGATGAGGACGATGATGGTGATGACGATGACGATGACGATGACGATGACGATGACGATGACGATGACGATGATGATGATGATGATGATGATGATGATGATGATGCTGATGCTGATGAGGATGAGGATGAGGATGAGGATGAGGATGAGGATGAGGATGATCATGATGATGATGCTGGTGCTGGCGGTGGTGATGGTGATGACGGCGGCGATACTACTACTGGTTCTGATGCTTATGCTGGTGCTGATGCTGATGGTGATGATAATGACGATGAAAATGATGTCGATGCTGATGCTGATGATGATGCTGATGCTGCTGATGATGATGTTGGTTCTGATGGTGGTGCTGCTGCTGTTGTTAATGATGATGATGATGATGATGATGATGATGATGATAATGTTGATGTTGATGATGATGATGCTGATTATTATGATGATGCTGATGATGCTGACTCTGATGCTAATGATGATGCTGATGCCGCTGGCGATGATGCTGCTGATGACGACGATGATGATGATGGTAATGCTGCTGATGATGATTATCATGATGACGATGCTGATTATGATGGATGATGCTGATGATGATGATGATGGTGACGACTGACGGCGACGACGACGTAAATGATGCTGACGACCATGTTCATGATGCTGATGTTGCTGATGATGATGCTGCTGATGATGATGACTAAGATGCTGCTGCTGATGATGCCGATGAGGATGAGGCGGAGGAAGAGGATGAGGATGTGGATGACGACTACGTCGACTGTGATGATGCTGTTGATGATGATGCTGATGATGCTGATGATGCTGATGATGCTGATGCTGATGCGGATGATGACGACGATGTCGACGGTGATGCTGATGCTGATAATGCTGATGCTGCTGATGATGATGATGATGGTGATGATGATGATGATGATCATGATGATGATGATGGCGACGACGACGACGCTGATGCTGGTGCTGCTGATGATGTTGATGATGAGGCTAATGCTGATGCTGATGCTGGTGCTGCTGCTGACGATTCTACTGCTGCTGATGATGATACTTGTGACAACGACGACGACTACGTTGACGACGATGATGCTGATGAAGATGCTGATGATGCTGATGATGCTGATGATAATGATGATGATGATGATGATGATGATGATGATGATGATGATGATGATGATGTTGCTGCTACTGATGATGCTGATGATGATGATGATGATGATGATGATGATGATGAGTCTGATGATGAGGAGGAGGACGATGATGATGCTGATGACGATGCTGATGGCGATGACGATGACGATGCTGATGATGCTGATGATGCTGATGATGATGATGATGGTGATGATGATGATGATGATGATGATGATGATGATGATGATGATGATGATGATGATGATGATGATGATGCTGCTGATGCTGATGATGATGATGATGATGATGATGATGATGATGATGATGATGATGATGATGACGATGCGAATGAGGAGGACTGGGAGGAAGCTGAGGAGGAGGAGGAGGAGGAGGACGAGGAGGAGGAGGAGGATAATATTGAGGGATGGCCCTGACATGCGATACATCTTCGCGCTGTCTTGGGGCCGTGTTGGCGCCATCTTGGAACCCTCTTGGGCCATCTCGGGGCTCTCTTTGACAGTCTAGGGGGTCTTCGCGGCATTTTGGATCATCGTGTCACTTTTGTGGATTTCCTCTGCTGTCTTGGAAGCCCTGGGGGCGCTTCGGGAGCCTCAGGGGGGTGCCCGCGCGGGCAAGATGCCTTGGCAGGGGGCGTGGTGCATGCAGCTGGGCGCCCATAGCATAGGGGGGGGTGCGTCCCTTAGAAGAACACAGAAACCTTTCCAGACAGCACTTGGCATTCTACCACGGTTCAACGTGTCATTGCAGCACGGTGGCGGTTGTGGATGTAGCATTGGCTTTATAATGCCTTTGCTTCGCCACGATGTCGAATTTCTTCACATGCCCCGTGGTCTTTGAGAAAGGCGGGGGCCACCATGGCTGCATCACGACAGAGTTCAGCGGGGACTTGGGCAGGTTCCTCACAGACGACGACTTCGCGGACGCCATCACGGAG